AGATATCTTTTCTCTAATTAAAAGAGTCTAAGTATTTCTTTCTTGGATTTTGAATGGAGCACCAGCTGACACCCACAAGAATAATCAGATATTGAGGTGGAAAGGGCTGGAAAGGCAATGATGGGCTGCATAAAAATGAAATGCAGGCCTTGGGGAAGGGATTAATCGGTGTGCAGGTGGGGGCGGAGCTATATTTTGATATAATGTGGATTCATTTATGGAGACATTTAATACAATGGAAGATTTGAAGAAAAGGGCGGCAGTGGGGTCAGCACAATTTACATTGGGGGATAGCACTTTAGCATGAACATCTGGCTTGCTAGACTCTGAAAGACAAAATAAAATTAATATTTCCATTAAGGAAAAGCTACTTAAAAGTTCAGTTCAAACAGGTAATGGTGAAAACAAAATTGTCTAGCTGTGGACTCCAAGGAGTGATTGTTTCAAGTAATTATGTGAATTTCCTCTTGTTCAGCACCAAGCTATGCCACCTCCTCAACTGGTTGCCTCCCTCCCTGTACCCAAGGCCCTCATGAGGCAGCAGACCAAAGCTTTTTAAGGCCAATCCCAATATGAGTTTGATGGACAAGATGCCTTGCTATCTCATTTGGAAGGCCTTCACTGGGCAGTCTTCCTCAACTTAGGCCCATCTAAACATGTCAAAATTTGGATTCAGAAACCCAAGGCTTCTGGATGACACTGACTTGGGGAAAGCTTCCCCAAGTTCATTTCTCTTCCCTAAATTAATGAAACTAAGGCTGATACAATATTGGAAAATCCACCATTTGCCATTGTGTCAGCAGCTGAAGAAAGACTTTCCTATTTTCATGACACAAACCAACAAAGGGAACCATTCTTTTATATATTTGCCTCTGAGAGCAATTGGGAGAAAATTATTTTTCATGGGAGGAAGCAGAGGTGGTATTCAGCAGGTTCTGACCAGTTCTGGAGAACCGGTAGCGGAAATTTTGAGTAGTTGAGCCACTAGTTGAGCCATCGGAGCCACTGGTATTCCAAGATGTGTACTGTCCCAAATGAAGGATTGCTACATTTAGCACTCAGATCTAGCAGCCCCTGAAAGAAGAGGTGGTCGTGATTATTTTCTTGCTGTAAACAAAAAGCCACCATTCTATCTTCCAGCAGCAACTGGTGTGGCTTTGTAAAGGGGTTGTCAAAGAATGATCTATATCCCAAGAAGACCAGAATCGTGGCCTGTATGTAAGGAAGCGTACGTGTCATAACCACATTTTTCCTTGAATAAATTATGAGGAGTGATCCTCTTGAGCTATGCTTTGCTGCAGTCCTACCCAAAAAAGGAGCTTGCTTGTGGCAGCTGCCACTGGACACAGATTTGCTAAACCAACTATTCTATGGAGGAGTTCGGTGAACTTTGTAAGACTTCCCTTTTAAGGTACTTAGTGGTGGGTCCTTTTCTCCATTCTTACCGGATAAACTCCCAGGATCCAAAGCAAGACACTGATGCGATGGGAACTCTTGCCGTGTCGTAAGAAGAAGCCTGTTTGTTCCAGTAATAGGCCAACTTGTATAAGGCCAAGGAATACTGGGATTAAGAAAATCCAGATCTCAGCCTTGATAACTGTAGGAGACAGGCAAATGTGGTTTGGAGAGATGAGAGTAGATTCTAATCTCCCTTCCTAATTCCTGTTGGAAGTCATATTTTATTGAATCCCCCCCCCCAATCCAAAATGTTGTAAAGCAGGCTTGCTCTCATAATGGAGCAGAATGCTCCTGTTATTACTTGGCCATGGTTGGCAAAACTGTATTTATGAGGCTAATCTCTGGGGAACTTTGGATGATGCCTTTATTCTGCCTTCTCTCCATCTTTCACCCTTCATTACCAGAACCTCAATTTGTCCGAGCCGCAGCTTTCCACAAATTCCCCATCCTCACCTTGGAAGATCTCGGATGACAGAGGCAATTGATCGCTGATAAGGGAACAGTTTGGGTCACGCGCCATGTTCTTCTCACTGGGACAGGTACCACTCCCCAGCCAATAACTTCCTCCTTTCTCATCATTAGTCACTGAATTAATCATTGACACGGGCTAAGATGGGTGTCTTGGCAACAGGGCCAAGTCCAGCTTTCCTCACCTGCCATGAGTTCCTGACTGCATCCGATAGATTAAGAAACTGTTAACAGTCCTAATATTTTAGCCGTATGAATCTGTAGTAGAATACACTGCTGTCAGGCTTGGAGCTTCATCTAAGACGGTGGTTCTCAACCTTTTCTTCATCACGGATCCCATTTAAATACCTTTTGTGGCCATGGACCACCAAGACTTAACTCATAACATTTCTTCAAGCCTTTGTGGATTCCCTGTGACATCACGGCCCCTCCCCAGGGATCCATGGACCACAGGTTTAGAACCACTGCTCTAGAGGGTAAACAACTCTTATTGTAGGGCAGGTTTTCCACAGTATTAAGTATTACACAGGTATTACAATATTAAGCCATGCACAATCTTGAAGATCCTATTCTACGAACAGAATCCTAGGATCTGTTCAGCTGGAAGGATTTTGGGAGATACATACTTTCCAATACATAGAATGTCTTTTTGTGAATATCAACCACAATAGTTGAATATCACGGACTAATTTTAAAATAATGCTTATGAGATCTAAACCTTGCATTTGCTGCCTCCTTCTCTTCATCTGCAAATAAACTAATCCACCACACTGGTAAAGAATGAGCTTTTTTGTAGAATGGCCTTCTGAGGCTGCTTAAGTTTCAGTTAGGGCAGCACTTGTCTTGTGATATTATTAAATGCAGGGAAACAATCTTGTGGAAAAAAAGGTGGAGAGTTGGCTATAATTGCTGATCAGCCTGGTTTTCACTCAGGAATCATGGGCCAGTCTCAGAAATATCAAACTTCAAATGCAATGTATCTGGGGAAACATATTAGTGAAATAGAAGCAAGAGAGAAAAAGAGATGATTTAGAACTTTGTTCCTACAGCCTCTTTTGCTCTGAAAACCAAAATTCCAATCTATTTGACACCTGTTTATATAATAGCATGGATTCAAACAAATAGCATTTGGCACAATCATATATAACTTCATTCTATTCTAGTTTTTCTGCATCTCATAAGGTATTGGCACTTGAGTTATGTTCTTCTGTGAACTCAAAAGCTAAGCAGGGTCAGCATGGACAGGTATTTGATGTCAAAATTTGGATTCAGAAACCCAAGGCTTCTGGATGACACTGACTTGGGGAAAGCTTCCCCAAGTTCATTTCTCTTCCCTAAATTAATGAAACTAAGGCTGATACAATATTGGAAAATCCAGCATTTGCCATTGTGTCAGCAGCTGAAGAAAGACAGAGGATCTGTGAGATCTGCAGCTTTCCTATTTTCATGACACAAACCAACAAAGGGAACCATTCTTTTATATATTTGCCTCTGAGAGCAATTGGGAGAAAATTATTTTTCATGGGAGGAAGCAGAGGTGGTATTCAGCAGGTTCTGACCAGTTCTGGAGAACCGGTAGCGGAAATTTTGAGTAGTTGAGCAGCAAATCCCACCTCTGACTGGCCCTCCCCCCATCTATTCTCTACCTTCTGAGTCCCAGCTGATCGGCTGGGTCTTCTTTTGTTGCTCTGCACAGGAATAGAGATGGAAAGCAGATTAGTAGGGTGAGGAGGGAATGGAGATTTTGAAATATATCCTTCCCCTGGAGTGGAGTGGAAATGGGGGTTTTACAGTATCATTCCCCTGCTCCATCCACCAAGCAACACCCACTAAGCCACATAATGCCCACCAAGCCACACCCTGGTAGTAAAAAAAAATTGAATACCTCCAATGGGAGGAAGGTCAGAGGGAAAGAAGACTGAAGAAAGAAGGAAAGTGGATCCCAGATATATTGTTCTGTGTTGACAAACCCACAAACACAGACTATGCTTGGATTTGCTTGTGATTGCATTTAGCACTGTCAGCAGATATCATTCAGTGGCTGGGACTCATCAGTTACATCCCCAGGGAGAGATCAGAGACAGTTCATCAGAGAAAAGAGGATCAAAGTCATGTGAAACTTTCAGTCACACCAATAGAAGTTGACCTATTCAAAGGGAATAAGGAGCATTATTCCATCACAGCAATCAGTTTAGTTTTAGCTGAAAAGAGGAACTTTGAAGAGTAGCACTTCCTGGAATGCAACAGTCTGATGGATTGCTTTGCAGATGTCACTCATGTATGAAAGTTACATACAAAGAAGGGAGGGAAGTGCCATATTGTTGATTCCTGCCCACAGTGTAACCCATTTTGCTAGGGAATTCTGGGGGTTGTATTTCCAATAATTCTAAAGAGTGCCAAAGGCTGGTAAGGACAGAGGCTTGTCCTTTCTACTAAATTATATACATGTTGGATTTAATTACTCCCTACCCATCTGCATGATAAGGAGAGACATATTTTCAAGAAGCAAAGCTTGCTTGTGATGTTTCATTTGCTGTGCTTTTCATTCAGAGTTCTCACCAAAGCATTCACTTCTATCACAAAAATACATTTTTTAAAAAAATCTTTTGGCTTATGGACTTTAAAAGGAGAGGTTTATCTATTGTCTAGCTAACCACATTTTTCTTACACAGTGAGTAAGATGCTCACCCCAACACTTCTTTCCACCTACCTGTAGTCCAAGGGCTTCTTTTTTCATGGACTTTGGGTTCAGTTTTCACTTATCATGAGTTGGGAGCAGACAAAAATCCTGAACAGAGGAAGGACAGCCCTACTCCCAGTTACACACACCTTTCCCTTCATGGCAACAGGTGGGCAGTGCAAAATGTCAGTGTTCAAACCAAAGACCTGATGTACCCACCCAGGAAAAGACAAGAGAAGTAGCTTCCCTCGAGGAAGTCCCAGCCCACCAAGTCAAATATGGCCAGTGTACGTATAAAGGACAGTTGAGTAACCTTGTGGTTTCCTCCCCAGGGGTTGTGGGCGTTGCATGCTTTCTCTCTCTCGCTCATGTACAAGACTCAGTCTGTAGATAAGCAGCACGCCTCTGGGCTCTGCAGTTCTTTCCACATTTCCCCTGAAGGATACACGATGGAAGCGGCTGCAGGGTACCCCTCTGTTTTTGTTGTGGATCCAACACTAAGGGACGTTCCCTTTGTGCCGCCCAGACGGAGGAGTCCGAAGACATGTCAAGCTTGTCAGCTGTTCTTGGGATTCCTGGTGCTGCTGGTGCTGAGTGGCTTAACCATCCAAGCCTATCTCCTGATTTCCTTTCGCAAGGAACTGGACACAGCAATGGCACAGGTCATAGAGAGTGATCAAGCGTGGTGAGAATGAGGTTCTACTGGGGCAGGAAAGAGAGGCCAGGGTGTTGGAGGAGGAACCTAGTCAATGAATGTGCTGGACCATTTGTCCTTGGTGTAGTAGTACTTGGTTACTCCTCAGTTGAAACCAGGACAGCTATGCTGTCATTTGTTAGTGTGGTTGGCTCCACATATCAGGTGTGTGCTCGCGTATGTGTGCAGGGATATGAGAAAAGAGAGTAATAATTTCTTAGGTATGATAAATTCAGGGTTGTACTGACAATGGTCAAAGTAGCTTTCAAAAGGAAAAAATATTGGTGGGAGACAGAGAGAGAAAGGCACTTCCAGCAAGTCAACTGAACAGCAGGATCTAGATTTCAATTAATCTGATCTAAGCATGAGACCAATAATTAGTATATGGCACTGCCATTTTTAGTCTCTTTTAATGTACCTTGTATGAGATGGAAATACAAAGGGCAATTAAACAGTTGCCTCTTTCAGATAATTTTACAGATAAGTCAACAGAATATCTATTTGGAATCTTTGTGTATTTTACAAATTTTCCCTCTTTTCTTAAGGAAAAAATGACATATATTCCTCCAAGCCAGATCAATAGCTTGCCTGATTTTGGTAGAATGTTCTATAAATGAACCATTGCATGCTTTCTAAATTATTGCAGATAGCTAAACAAAATGTATGAACCAAACCCACTGAAGGTTTATACTCATCAATCATGATTAATTGTGAATTAGCCTGATTTGTGAGTCTAGCCACTGTACTGTATTCAGTTGGCTTCTTATCCTAGAATCCTCTCTTAATATTTTGCTCACTTCTGGATTATTAATTACTGATAAAAATGCAAAAATAAGGGGAAATGCTATCCTTTTATTCTGGCTTGTGGTTAAATTCTTATGCTGACAGAGATTCAAACTTCAGATGTGTTGTAAACCACATAACCTAGGAATGATTTCCATGTTGAATTGAAATATGTCATTTTTTACATCTCCTACAACTTAATTTACCATTATTCTATAGACAGGATTATATGTAATTTAAGAAGCACAACTTTCTTTTTTTTACAGCTAATCCCTGGTTGTTCTGATACAATAAAAACAATAATAATGTTATTATTATTAATAACATAATAATATAAATGCATACCCAAACTAATAGTAACAATTATTATTATTAATATTATTACTATTAATGACTTTCTGTGATTTAAGATTTATTTCCATTCAAATTTAGGCTGTGCATGAGATCAGAATATACAGCATTAGGAGGTCTCTGTTTTTATCACATTTCTAATAGAACCATAGTAGCATAGGTTTTCATGCTAAAAGGAGAGTTCTCTTCCTCTGTTTTTGCTGGCTTCCGTTCAGTCTGACTTTCTGCTCTTGCAAATGCAGCTAGATTTGGGGGCAGGGATAGGCAGTTCTAAGTAATATAAGCTATTTTCACCCATACTTATGCCTTCACCAATTTCCCTTGCTGAGGCATTTGCAGAATGTTTCCAGGCACTACCCATCCTTTCTTAAGAAGTTTCAACACACTGGATACTCCCGGTGATAATTCAACTCATCAAACTGAAGAATGAATGAATATTAAAGAATCCTGTGAGGATATCTTGACCAACTCATCCCATGCATGATCTCTGTGCATATATAAACAGCTAATGCAAGATCAAAGTTTGTGGATAAGTGCACAGATGGTGAATTCACCTTAATTTAACCTCTGTTGTGGTTGCCCCAGCTGCTTGTTATTTTATTGATTTTTTCAAAGATTCTTTATGTTCCTGTTGGAGAAATAGAGGGGAGAAACATGTGGAATCCAGAGTTTTGTTCAGAATTCGGTTTTGAACTCTGGTTCTATTTTTTTTGGTGGAAATTAATATTCCAAATAAAGATGTTAAATAAATAAGAATGTTTTGTGAAGAAGAGGCATGTATGTGTAGAAAATGAATTTCTAGTGCTTTTTCAGTTGGTTTATTAACAATTGTCTACTGGGTTTGGTTTTTTTAGGGAACAGCCAACGCGACTGCTGAAAAAATTATACAAGGTAAATTTATCTTCTCTTTTGTTTCAGTCTTCACCTAAACTCGTTTTCATATGATACCATTTAAGTGCCTCAGAGTCATTATTTTTCAGCAATTAGTGGGAAGTAGAATCAAACAGATTTCACATATAGTTTAATTTGGTACTACAGAAAGTTCCATTTCTACATGACAGCTCCATAAAGCAAAGGACCAGGTTGGGGAAAGAGGGTTATGGAGCAAATCTATCTGTGGTCACTAAAATTCAATATCAATTTGATGGCACATGACCAATCCTTCCAATGCTAAGTGACAATTTCTATGCTGCAGATTCAGTTAGTTTACATGCTATTCCTTCCCTCCTTGCAGGGTGGGAAGTGTACTGATGATGAAGGGTCCTCTTTTAGCCCATTCTGCCCCACACAATGGGTGTGCAAATGTATATATACATACTCACAGCTATTGGTGTCATCTCCTGACTGTTTTCCCGATTCTTTCCAATAGTAGAATAGTCCCAAATATGCTTTTTTCCAAAGGGCAAATGGATGTTTCGCTTCTCATCCAAGAAGCTTCTTCAGCTCTTTCCAAAAGTCCATTTTGCCTTTTTGGGGGGAAACACTTTTAGGACAACCATGACTTGGATGACTGAGAATCTCCATAGACAATAAGGAATAGTATTGATTTGCAATGAAATAGAAGAAAGAGGAAAGCAATTCAATTCAATCATCAGTGTGTTTTTACTGTACAAATGAAACGCTTGTGCATAGTTCTCTTCACTGTTAAGGCTTAACAGATTAGCATTTCTCAGATTCATTTTGCAACAGAACCTAACAAGTGTTAGGTAAACCATTTGGATTCAGCATGTCAAAAATGTAGGAAAAAAACCTAACTTGACACTGCTGGCATGTCAACCCCTCCCCCAAACAGAAACAATTCTCTATCCACTTAGGCCACTCTGAACAACACTACATGGGCCTCGATTTCAGCTCTAGTGCCACCACTGCCATTCCAAAAGGCCACCTAGTTCCCTTCCTCAAGGCATGTGAGCCTTAAAGAATGGCATGATTGATTGCTCTCACAGTCCAGTGTTCCCTGGGATCTGCTGACCTGTAGGCGGCCTTCTGCAGCCGACCTGAGGCTACTCTGGGTCACCTGAAGACTTTATTCTTAAGCAACTTCGTAGAATGTTCTCCTGCAGCCTCTGAAAACTCTACAAAAACCATTCTTTCACATCCTTCATGGCTTCCAAACAGTACATGAAAATGGCTCATGTTCTTCAGAATAGTTGTTGGATGTTATGAATGTAGGTGTGTTGTGTCATGTCTCTTTTGACACACATGTCATAAGTTTACCATCACTGTATTAATCTATCAATAGCCAAAGATCCTCCACCCAATCTTAAAAAAAAGACATTCAGGAATATTATTTTTAAAAATCACAATTTTTTAATTTTTTAATAGTTCACTGGTTGTGGTGGGTATTGCTCCTGTAATATAGTAAAAATACCCACATTTTGTCTCTTTATTCCAAAGTATTTCTCTGGGCTGAAGGAAACTTGAAATGATCTGGATTTCTTAGCATTGCCCAGTTGCTCCATCATCAGAACAGGCAGGCAACTATTTCTGAAAGGCAAAAAATGGAAGATTTCATTATCTGTTAATAGATGATAGATAGATAGATAGATAGATAGATAGATAGATAGATAG